CGTGCATCGCGCGAATAATGCTCGACGCAAGTCTGGGACGAAGACTATTGCGCCAAAAGTGCTTGACTATCTCATGGTCCCACAATCCTGGGAGGGTGACTTGGTTGAATGCCGAGCGGATTGGATCCCAGAGACCCGGACTACCAACTTCTCGGATCATGCCTGTGTCTACGCCGAGTTCCATATGCAGAACCCTCAGGTCACGAAATATCAAGGCCCCCCTAGCCACCACACAAGCCACAAAGAGTGCCAATCGTATTGGGAGGAGGCCCAATTTCAGGTCCTGGCGGACGTCCAGATCCCGACGGTGCCCCCACAACGTCTTGCTGAAACGATTGCTGGACATGCGTTACCGCTCCTCACGGTGAGGGCCCCCAGGTACTATCGAGGGCTCCCGCCGAGTAGGACTCCCCAGCATGCCGACCTGGAGGTACAACTCAGAGAGGCACGTGCTAGGAAGGACAGAGCGTTGGCTCGGGACCTTCGGCGTCGCATCAGACCGCTTGCGCGGGAGTATCGCCGACGGAAGGTGGAGTGGGAGGCGCTGCCATCTAGGAAGGGGAGGAGGACACGTGTGACGGAGTTGAGGGTGACGGACACTGGGGGAGGGGATATGGGGCCTACGACTATGATGACGGAGGACAGGGAACTGTGGGCGGAGGAGGTGGAGCGATATGCTGTGCAGAGTATGACTTGTGATGACTCCAGAGCCCGCAATCGGGAGCTTGTGTCCACACTGCGTCGCCATGCATCTCAATCTACAGCCCCTTCGGACAACGCACTTACGACTACATACTCTACTATTCTGCAGGCGCGGAGCAGGCTCCGAACAGGACAGGCCTGTGGGCCCGACGGCATCTCGGTTGAACTTCTCAAGTCTCTTTCGTGGAGGTCAGTGCGTGCTATTGGTAAGGTTTTCTCTGATATATTCAACGGGCTTCGCCCGACGCCAAGGGGATGGCAGGAAGTATACCTAACACTTATGCCGAAAACGAGCAAACTAGAAACATTGCGACAAACAAGGAACCTGCTTGTCGGAAATACCTTGGCCAAGTGGTATCTTACGTGTGTGACGATTTTACTGGAACGATGTGTGGAACCCTTCATGAGTGATATGGCGATTTACGGTTTTACTAGCGGACGACGTTGCTGGGAGATTTCATCGGCCATGAAATGTATTGCACAACATGCTTCCACATGGGGGCGAGATCAAACGGCGTGGCTCCTCAGCTGTGACATCGAGCGGGCGTTCGATGCTGTGACATTGCCGACAGTCTCGAGAGCGATGACGGCCCTTGGGATCAGTGCACGGTTACAGTATGCGTTATTGGAGCCTCTCTCATCTACTTCATGCGCGGTGCTGTTTGAAGGAGTGACAATCCCCAATGTGCAGTGGGATAGGTCGCTCCGTACTGGGGGTACCGAATCACCTATCGCGTTCACTATTGTCACTATTGCTATGTGGCGGGATGTGATTGCTCGCCTGGATCAGCGCGGTGTCGGAGTCGAGATGCCATGCCATGATGATCATTGTCGGTATGCACGTTGGAATCATGCTCTCTGGGCTGACAATATTTTTCTGGCCGCCAAGTCAGCATCGGAGGCGCAGGTAGCGGCCGCTGCCTTCACTACTGCTCTCAGGGATTGGGGGATGGAGTGGAAGGAAGAGAGTCTAGAGATGATGGTGTGTGGTACTCAGTACACTGATACGGTCACGGTTCATATTGGCTCGCGGACTGTACCTTTCAAGCAGGTTGAGAGTTTGAATGTGCTGGGGTATCAGATTCCCAGAAGTTTCACTTCTATCCACACGGATGTGCAGGAGCGCGTCCAGCAGGCCCGAAGGGCATTCTTTGCGCAGGTGCAGTATTTTACGTGCAGGGCGCTGCCTCTGGTGAAGGAGTTTCGTCGATACCAATCGACTGTGCAGAGCCGTCTTTTATATGCAGCAGAGGCCATCGCGATTGACAGTGAGTGTGTCAGGGTTATCCACGCGTTCGAGGGTATGTGTCTTCTGAGAATGTCAGGGAGGAGGAAGCCAGGAGATGTGGGGTGGGAGGTATGGCGGCCAGCTGCACTGACACGAGTCAGGACAATCTTCTGCGATGGGGGTTTCCCGTCGGCTGTGCAGATGCTGTGTTGGAAGAGCTGGGGCATGGTGCGCTCCACGAGGCAATATTTACTATCTTTGGAGGAGGACAGGGCGGCAAGGACGGAGGTAGAGGTGGAGGGATCAACGACTCAACGTGCTAAACGTGTTCGCTTTGCGGATGGACGGGGGGAGGATGTACCTGCAGCAACTGTGATGGAGGTGGTGGGGGGGATTGCGGATATGGAGAGGCGGCTGGAGGATCTTTGCTCGCAGGTTGCCTGTTCCATTGCCCGCTCACAGCCGATGCCCTCTGGAGAGGGAGCTGCCCACACTCTCAGAGGCGAGCCGCTTGCCGTCTCAAAGGGGAGGAGGGCCTTTCGAGACTCCCGACGTGCGCTTATGGTGTGCAATGTTAGCTGGGTCACGGCTCGCGACACAATAACAGAGGTTCTACGACAACACGGCAACAGGGCCTTATCTAGTTCGGGCAAGCGGCTTCGTGGAGGCCCTGTGGCTGTGGGTGGTCGGTCTTGGCAGTTCCCCTACATTCAGTTCTTTGGGGAAAAGTGGTGGGGGTCTGTGCGGGGCGATTGGGTCCAGTTCTTGGAGGTGTGGAAGCAACTCCTTGCACAATGCAACAACATTAAGGTCTATGACTACTTTGTGGTGTCTTGGAAGGGCTCTCCGAATGGACCTCGAGGCTCCCCTGAGGCTCAAGAGAAGGCCGATACTGAGGCGGTCGACATCGCGACCAACCCTCTACACCCCAAGTACGACCCCAAAGAGTCCGCCAAGCTTGCAATACGTTATGCTATGATCCAGGAACGTGCGACTGTGTGGGATATATCATCAGAGGGATTTGCTGCTGAGTTCAAGGGTGACTCATTACTTATCTGCTCCTGGCTACAGGGGAAATGGAGATGTGAGAATCGTGGATACTGCAAGAGGACAGCTGCCATGATTGATTGTACCTTTGAGCTCGCTGCGTGTTTCAATCTGAGGCCTGCTGCCTTGGGACGTGAGATATGGAGACATGAATTCAGGGAGGACAATACACGAGCGGATGAATTGACGCATGAGGCCAGATGTGGCCGCACATTCTACAGAACTCATTGTTATCTATCTCCATTCGAAACTTATCTCTTACCGTTCGCTATCAGGGGAGGCTTTGATGGCGGGGTTGGCCAGCAAGGATCAGGATGTGGTTTCTGGCTTCAGATCGGCTTAATCAATACTCAGTGCAATCCCAGTGAGATAGGCATCGCTTCCGCGAGAACCGTGGGCTCCTTCCCTGCTGGGCATGAGTTTGCTGTTTCTAGTGCCGTGCCCCTCGTTTGGAGGGATGTGGCCGAGGCCGCGTGGCTCCTTGAAGGAGCTACAGTCACATAATGTGAATTGTCGGCAGCCGAAGCGCTGCTCAGCGCTGCCCGTGTGCTTCTGCGGGACCGGTCCTCGCCCAGCTGCACTCAGCTGGGAACGCGAGTCCAAACAAACAAACAAAACCAGGTTGACGGTTTACTGCAGGTTGCCAGTCTTGATCTCAGCTCGATCGGGTATCTTTTACTACCAAAAAGCGTCTGGGCGGGATCGGCCGTTTCGAGTCATCTTGATACGCGCTGTCGGTATATTGGACTTAACTCGAGACTCAGGACAGCTACAGAGCTGGTAAGCACACCTTATCGATTCAGAATGATTCGGCGCGTTCGTATATTGCATTCAGAGGTCTGAACTCGGTCTGCTAGCCGAGCTAGGTCCGCAAACCTATTCGTATTATTCGAGTCATCTTGATAGGCGCTCTCGGTTTTCTGCACTTAACTCGAGCTGTAGGACCGCTACAGAGGTGAGACTGGCAGAAACTGATTCAGAATCATCAGTCGCGTTTGTCTGTTGAATCCAGAGCTCTGAACTCGGTCTGCTGCCCGATCTAGAATCGCGAAACTATGGGTAATGTTCGAGTCATCTTGAGAGGTGCTGTCGGTTTTCTGCACTTCACTCGACCTGTAGGGGGGCTACTGTGCTGGTGGTCACAGAAATCGATTTCACGACATCAGGCGCGTCGGCCTGTGGAATTTAGAGCTCGGAACTCGGTCTGCTGCCCGAACTAGGTCCGCGAAACTATTCGTAGTGTTCGAGTCATCCTGAGAGGTGCTGTCAGTTTTCTGCACTTAACTCGGGCTGTAGGGGGGGCTGCGCTGGTAATCACAGGAATCGATTCGGAGACATCAGAGGCGTCTGCCTGTCTGATACTCGAGCTAGGTTTGCGAAACTATTCGTATTGTTCGAGTCATCTTCAGGGTTGCTCTCGATTTACGCACGTAACTCGGGCTGTAGCAGAGCTACAGAGCTCGTACAGAAGACAATCCAGAAGCATCGGGGGCGTTCGGCTGTTGCATCGAGACGTCTGAAATCGCTTGGGCTGAAAAATTATTTGTTCTCTGCAATCTTTTTCGACATTATATATTGTCAGGAAGCTTTACGAGTCCCCCGGCGGTGAGAAAGGTTGACGGTTTACCGCCGGCCCCCAGTGATAAGTTTGGGTGGGTTTTTCGAAGATTTGAAAGATGTTTGACAATTCTTCTTGAGGATCCAGATTTTTCGCACTCGTTATCGATGAGCTCGGAGGAATTCCGGCGCGGGGTGGAGCTAGTTGGTCGACCCGACCAGAAGAGACAAAGTGGTAATTTTGGGTGGTTTTGCGAATATTTCCAATTTGACCATTTATTTTGAGAAGGCAGATTGTTATGCGTAGCATTCGTATCTAAACTTTATTCTCAAAGCAGCTCAGCTCTCTGGAGAGAGTTTTGTTATCCGAAAATGAGCCGGAACCGACGTCGGAGTGATATCGAAAAATTGTAAGTTGATGTTTTTTCGAGAAAGGCCGCGAGAAGCTGTCTGCTTCGATTCTGAGCACTGTCGTGCCTGCAAGGAGCTCTACGAGGTTCCCGGCGGTGACCAGGTTGCTGCTGTCCCTCCTCGGGGATCTCAGCGGTGGCCTGGCCCGTCGGGGGCTTCCTCAAGCCTGTCTCCTCAGGCTGCCCCCTGGGCGGCCGTGTGCGCGCGGGCGGGCCGTGCAATAAATTCGGGTACTTCGTCGGCTGCGACGACCTTCTCTCATTGGGCCTACAGGTGATAGGTGCTGGAGGCCAGCTCTGTTTGGCATCAGAAGTGGGACTGAGTTCAACGCATAGGCCGCTGTCGTCGCTTTGTACTTGTTTGTGCTGCCTGCTTGCGCTTTCTCCATTATTGCTCTTGCACACGTGTGTACTCTTTGACATTGAGGTACTTTGACAGTTCTGTGACATTGGAGTATCTTGAGATTGAGGTTCTCTGCATTGTATCGGCGTGCCTGTTTTCATTCTTTCTTTCTTTGAATCGTATCGATCAGAATTCAAGATGCTTGAGTGCGTTATCAGACGCTCAGTTATGCAGGTGATTCAAGATACTGAGTGCGTTATCAGACATTCAGTTATCCGAGAGTTACTTCTTGAGTGCGTTATCAGACATTCAGTTATCACACATTTGACGTGAGCATACGACTCTTGTCTTACCGCGGGTTGTTACGAAATATTTCGGACCTTGTGTTTGCGTTGACTCTTGCCATGCTGTGTGTGTGTCGGACATGCGCGCATGTTGGTATAAGAGCTCCGCGTGATCTTCACTTTGTTCGGAATAAGAGTTTTGCATGTGCCCACTCCCGCTCAAAGAGTGGTGGGTGTCTTGCCTGACTCTGTGCACAGTCGACCGCAAATTCGGTGTGTTTCACGTGCATGGTCTTTCAGTGGTGCTGAGACGGTAATCGCTATATGTGGTTACTGCATGGTATCGCATTACTTTGAAGTGTACTCGTCATTTTAGTTGTTAGTTTTGTGTTTGTCTCAGTGGTGTTGAGACGGTAATCGCTGTATAAACCAGTGGTTACTGTATGGTCTCTCACTGCTTCTATTCTCAGTGGTGCTGAGACGGTAATCGCTATATGTGGTTACTGCATGGTCTCGCATTGCTTTTACTCCCTCTTTATATTTTAGTTGTATTCTCGTGTTGAGAATCCAGATTTTTCGCACTTGTAGACGACTGTCTGCGTCTTAATAAGAGCTCTGTAGGCGCCTTTTTACTATCAAAACAGTTGGCGCAACCAACTTTCTGTCTACATGAAAAAAATGAATGTTCATTTTTTTGAAATGCTTCCAGAAGCTCTCTCATTCGACTCTGAGCACTCTGACGCGTGGAAGGAGCTCTACGAGGTTCCCGGCGGTGACCAGGTTGACGGTTCACCGCCGGTGCCAGTTGGCAAGACAAATCTCGATGGACCTTTTGCTGACTTTTTGTCGGTTGAAAATTTTGTTCTCGAAATTCCTCAATTCGTTTGAGCTCTAGTATTTTTTCTCATGCTATTCGATCTGATTCCTGCTCGCTGTCTTGATCTCAGCTCGATCGGGTACCTTTTACTAGGCGGGATCAGCCGTTTCGAGTCATCTGGACATGCGCTGTCGGGTTTTTGTACTTAACTCGAGCTATAGGACAGCTACAGAGCTGATGCTCACAGAAGTCGATTCAGAGTGATGAGGCGCGTTTGTCTCTTGAATCCAAAGCTCTGAACTCGGTCTGCTGCCCGAGCTAGGTCTGCGAAGCTATTCGTACTGTCCGAGTCATCTTGAGAGGTGCTGTCGGTTTTCTGCACTTAACTCGGGCTGTAGGAGCGCTATAGGGCTTGTAATCACAGGAATCGATTTGAATACATCAGGCGCGTCCGCCTGTGGCATTCAGAGGTCTGAGCTCGGTCTGCTACTCGCGCTAGGTTCGCGAAACTATTCGTATGGTTCGAGTCATCTTGAGAGATGCTGTCGATTATCTCACGTAACTCGGGCTGTAGGAGCTACAGAGCTGATACGCACAGAAACTGATTCGATATCATCGTGCGGGTTTGTCTGTTGCATCCAGAGGTCTGAACTGGATGTGCTACTCGGGCTAGGTCCGCAAAACTGTTCGTATTCTTCAAGTCACCTTGGCAGGTGTTGTCCTTTCTGTATTGATCTCTGGCTGGGTAGCTACGAGCTGGTACGCGCAGCAAACGATCCAGAAGCATCAGGGGCGTTCGGCTGTTGTATCGAGAGGTCTGAAATCGCCCGGGCTGAAAAACTATTCGTTCTCTGCAATTTTTTTCGACATTATATGTGGTCAGGAAGCTCTACGAGTCCCCCAGCGATAAGAAAGGTTGACGGTTGACCGCCGGCGCCCAGTAGAGCTCTTCGTTATCGACGAGCTAGAGGAATTGGGGTGAGCTAGTTGCTCGACCCGACCAGAAAGGACAAAGTCGTGACTTTGTGTCGGTTTTGCTCAGATTTGAAAGATACTTGACAATTCATTTTTAGAAAGCAGATTTTCACGCCGAGCATTGGCATATAATCTTTGTTCCTGAGCAGCTCAGCTCTTCAGAGCCAGTTTTAGTATTAGTTGAACCCGGAACCGACTTCATCTCCACTCCGAAAATCTCAATTTGACGTTTTTCTAGAAAAGCTCCAAGAAGCTCTCCGCTTCGATCCTGAGCTTTCTTACGCTACGAGGTTCCCGGCGCAAGCCAAGTTGACGGTTTACCGCCGGCGCCAGTCGATGAGCTAGAGGAATTCCGGCTCGGGGTGGAGCTAGCTGGTCGATCCGGCCAGAAAGAAGATGTGTTAACTTTGGGTCGGTTTTGCTAAGATTTAAAAGATATTTGGCAATTCATTTTGGGAAACCAGTTTTTGCACCTGTAGACGATTGTGAGGGCCTCGGCGTCGAAATTCGAGCTCTGTAGGCGCACTTTTACTATCAAAACACTTGGAGGAACGAACTTTATGTCGACATGAAACAAATAATGTTCATTTTTTGAGAAATGCCCCCATAAGCTCGTGCCTTCAACTCTGAGCACTCTCGCGCATGAAAGGAGCTCTACGAGGTTCCCGGCGCAGACCAGGTTGACACCAGTTCTCTTTGCTCTCCGGGTTTTTGACGCTACCAAATGGACGCTACCAAATGGACGCCCCCAAGTGCCAAGATTTGAAAGATATTTGACCATTTATTTTGAGGAACCAGAATACCTCGTAGAGCTCTTCGTTATCGATGAGCCAGAGGAATTCTGGCGCGGGGTGGAGCTAGGTGGTGGACCCGACGTTAAGAGCCAATGTGATGACCTGGGGTCGGTTTTCTTAAGATTTCATATTCGATTATTTCCCAACCCTCCTGCGTTGGGTACTTGTTTTGAATCGAGCACTGCGGTCTCCACCTTCATTCCTTTCTTCATTCCTTCCTTCCATTCCGCCTCCCGCCCCCACCTTCCTTCCTTCCTTCCTTCCTTCCTTCCTTCCCGCCTCCCGCCCCCTCCCGCCTCCTCCTCTCTTCTCTGGGGGGCTGCGATCTGCGAAACTGTCGCCACTTTCGAGGGCTGCTGGGGTGGCCAGCGGAGTGACGCCCTACGGGGATTCAGATTAGACCTCGCCATCCCTGGGGGGCTGCGATCTGTGAAACTGTCGCCACTTTCGAGGCTGCTGGGGGGCCCAGCGGAGTGACGCCCTACGGGGATTCAGATTAGACCTCGCCATCCCTGGGGGGCTGCGATCTGTGAAACTGTCGCCACTTTCGAGGGCTGCTGGGGGGCCCAGCGGAGTGACGCCCTACGGGGATTCAGATTAGACCCCGCCGTCCCTGGGGGGCTGCGATCTGCGAAACTGTCGCCACTTTCGAGGGCTGCTGGGGTGGCCAGCGGAGTGACGCCCTACGGGGATTCAGATTAGACCTCGCCATCCCTGGGGGGCTGCGATCTGTGAAACTGTCGCCACTTTCGAGGCTGCTGGGGGGCCCAGCGGAGTGACGCCCTACGGGGATTCAGATTAGACCTCGCCATCCCTGGGGGGCTGCGATCTGTGAAACTGTCGCCACTTTCGAGGGCTGCTGGGGGGCCCAGCGGAGTGACGCCCTACGGGGATTCAGATTAGACCTCGCCATCCCTGGGGGGCTGCGATCTGTGAAACTGTCGCCACTTTCGAGGGCTGCTGGGGGGCCCAGCGGAGTGACGCCCTACGGGGATTCAGACTAGACCTCGCCATCCCTGGGGGGCTGCGATCTGTGAAACTGTCGCCACTTTCGAGGGCTGCTGGGGGGCCCAGCGGAGTGACGCCCTACGGGGATTCAGATTAGACTTCGCCATTCCTGGGGGGCTGCGATCAGTGAAACTGTCGCCACTTTCGAGGGCTGCTGGGGGGCCCAGCGGAGTGACGCCCTACGGGGATTCAGATTAGACCTCGCCATCCCTGGGTGGCTGCGATCTGTGAAGCTGTCGCCACTTTCGAAGGCTGCGTGGGGGGCCCAGCTGAGTGACGCCCTACGGGGACTCAGATTAGACCTCGCCATCCCTGGGGGGCTGTGATCCGTGAAACTGTCGCCACTTTCGAAGGCTGCTGGGGGGCCAGCGGAGTGACGTCCTACGGGGACTCAGATTAGACCTCGCATCCCTGGGGGGCTGCGATCTGTGAAACTGTCGCCACTTTCGAGGGCTTCTGGGGGGCCCAGCACAGTGGGCACCCACGGCGGATTCAAATGGGACCTCGCCATCCCTGGGGGGCTGCGATCTGTGAAACTGTCGCCACTTTCGAGGCCTGCTGGGGGGCCCAGCACAGTGGGCACCCACGGCGGATTCAAATGTGACCTCGCCATCCCTGGGGGGCTGCGATCTGTGAAACTGTCGCCACTTTCGAGGGCTGCTGGGGGGCCCAGCACAGTGGGTACTCACGGCGGATTCAAATAGGACCTCGCCATCCCTGGGGGGCTGCGATCTGTGAAACTGTCGCCACTTTCGAGGGCTTCTGGGGGGCCCAGCACAGTGGGTACTCACGGCGGATTCAAATGGGACCTCGCCATCCCTGGGGGGCTGCGATCTGTGAAACTGTCGCCACGTTCGAGGGCTGCTGGGGGGCCCAGCACAGTGGGTACTCACGGTTGATTCAAATTAGACCTCACCATCCCTGGGGGGCTGCGATTTGTGAAACTGCAGCCACTTTCGAGGCTTGCTGGGGGGGCCAGCACAGTGGGTACTCACGGCGGATTCAAAGGCTGCTGGGGGCTGCGATCTGTGAAACTGTCGCCACTTTCGAGGGCTGCTGAGGGCCCCAGCACAGTGGGTACTCGCTGCAGATTCAAATGGGACCTCGCCATCCCTGGGGGGCTGCGATCTGTGAAACTGTCGCCACTTTCGAGGGCTGCTGAGGGGCCCAACACAGTGGGTACTCACCGCAGACTCAAATGGGACCTCGCCATCCCTGGGGGCTGCGATCTGTGAAACTGTCGCCGCTTTCGAGAGCTGCTGAGGGGCCCAGCACAATGGGTACTCACCGCAGACTCAAATGGGACCTTGCCATCCCTGGGGGGCTGCGATCTGTGAAACTGTCGCCACTTTCGAGGGCTGCTGAGGGGCCCAGCACAGTGGGCTTCCCGCACGTCTTTCTCCTGCTCTTCGCTCCCGTCTCCCCATGTCCTCTTCGAGCCTGTAGCTGTTGCCCTTCTTTCTTGTGTGGTTCTCCTGCGCATCGTGCCATAGGCGCGTGTCCCAAGTAGCTTACATATCAAACAACGGATCCTGCAATTTGATTGTCCATGCAAGTTTCGGTCAACTCCTCGGTTCCCATGATACAAATGGGTTGGGTACGTCACAGGGTAATTATTTTGAGAAACGAGATTTTCCGCACCTGTTGTGGGTTATTCCGCGTTTGCCTGTCAAATTTTTAGGTCCGTAGGTGCATTATTACCATCAAAACCGGAGCAACCGACGTTGGATGAAAACAGAAAAACGTGATGTTTCGAGTTCTTTTGTTTCTCGCTCCAGACGCTTTCTTCATGTGTTACGACGATCGCCGTGCAAAGACAAGAGCTCTACGAGGTTCCCGGCGGTAACCTGGTTGACGGTTTACCGCCGTTTCCAAGTTGGTCGACCCGACTAGAAGAGACAATGTGACAACTTTAAGTCGGTTTTGCTCATATTACCTCGTAGAGCTCTTCGGCAAGATGAGCTAAGAGGTTCAATTCTCAGGTTCCTATCAGAACACTTGGAGCAACCGACTTTTCGTAATAACTGAAAAACGTATTTTTTCAAGTTTTTGAGCTCATGCGTAGGGACTTCCCCATTGTTCGGAGCAGCAAGGTGCGAGAAAAGAGCTCTACGAGGCTCCCCGCGGTAACCTGGTTGACGGTTTACCGCCGGCTCCCAGTTTTCGCACCTGTTATGGGTTATGACGCGTGCGCCTGTACAATTTTTAGGTCCGTAGGTACAGTACTACTACCAAAACACTTGGAGCAACCGACATTAGATAAAAATCGAAAAGCGTATTTTTTCGAGTTTCTCGGATCTCGCTCCAGAAGCTTCCTTGATGTGTCGAGGAGCGCGGAAAGAGCTCTACGAGGATTCCGGCGGTAACCTGGTGCCGGTTCCCAGTCCCAGATCCGTGCCAGAGGGTCTCTCCGCTCTCCGGGTTGTGGACGGTACCAATGGTCGGTTGAAAATTCTGTCTTCAAAATTCAACCATTCGTTAGAGCTCTAGTATTACTTCTTACCATATTCGATCTTGTTCACGCTCGCCGTCTTGATCTCAGCTCGATCGGGTAACTTTTACTGCCAAAAAGCGTCCAGGCGGGATCGGCCGTTTTGAGTCATCTGGACAGGCGTTGTCGGTTTTTTGTATTTAACTCGAGCTATGG